CACTAGTCTGAGCTAAAGGAAGCTCACTAACTCGTTACCGGAAACAAATTGTACTGCCGTAAATGCAATTATCGGAAACATATTGTACTGCCGTAAATGCAATTTCGGGCTCGGCTGGTGTGTGTGATTTGAGCTTAGTTTCCGTCCACTTGGCCTTACGTATCTCCCGCTAGCCTGAAGCTAAAGGAAGCAAGGTACATGACTCCTCCCTCGAAGGGAGGCTGAGCTCAATTAATTCAAAGAAGCCTAAAGAGGCCGACGGCGCGTCGCTCGTCATTAGCGATGACTCGCAACGTACCCGTGGGCACCTCAGAGGTCGCTCTGGTCGCGGATTTTGCACGTCGCTCGAAGGGCGTGGCGGGGAATGAGCGCCCCGGCTAGGATGCTAATGCGGAGAATCGGTCTAGTTCGCCATGTCTTCGCACGCGTGGGAAACCGCCATCCGCTCGACAGCTCGCGGCGGCCGAAGCGCGATGTGTCGCCTCACCGAGCCGACGCTCCGTTCCGCCGCGAGAACGCTCGCCTCGCCGCGACGGCCTCGATCTCGGAAAGGCCGGCGCGATCTCCGTCGTCGAAAGCGACGTCCCACAGCTTCATGCGTCGCGCCTTCTCTCCCGGTCGGCGCCGCACGTCCCCGACCGTGACCTCGGCGACGGTGCCGTCGTACGCTTCTCCGTCGTAGAAGAACTTGGTGACGCGGTCGCCTTCGCCCGGCGCCTCCCCCGACCCGAATTTTTTCTTGTTGAAGACGCCGTACGCTTCTTTGTACCATTCCTCGTCTTCGGCGAGCTCCAGGACCGTGTACAGCGGACACGGGGCGTCCCCGGCGTCCACGACCCACTCCGACGACGACCTTTGGTAGCGCACCTTCGCGATAGCCTTGCGCAGACCATCTTGATCCGTGAACCATTTCCCCTTGAGTTCCTTCGTCCATTGCTTCGTACCAAACGCCAAGAGCTTGTTCGCCGCTTCTTCCGCGACGCGAATTGATTTTTTTCGCGGCACGGTTTGCTCGGCGCATCGGCGCTTTCTTCCCGTTTTTGCGTCGCTTCCGTTCCCGCGGCGCACACGTCCTCGCGTGATGCCGTAGGCTATGCCCAACCCTCCGATGACAGCACCGAGGCCCGCGATACCTCGAGCGAGCTTACGTCCACTCATCTCTCAATAGTAGCGTGTTTCAGTGGCGCTAGAACTAGAGAATCTCCCTTTCCGCGGACCAAAATACCCCAAACTGGCAAGTGAACTCCCTCAAGATAAAATTTTAGCAAAAATGCAGTCTTCAGGGCAAACTGAAACACCGCCGCTTACCTCGCCAGCTTGCATTTCAAGCTCCCTCATGCTATTTTGAGAAAGCTTGAAGGGCAGTTTACTAGGCTAGGCAGTGCCAGTGGGGGAAATTAAATCGCAAAATCGTAAGGGGTTTGGGGTATTTCGGCTCCGCGGAAGGGTTCTGGAAGGGTTCAACGTTCTGAAGGGCTTCTGGCACGTGGTTTGGGGCGGTGTTGCAGTTCGCCCTGTCTACGCTCTGAGAACCGTTTGTACCAGCGAGCCATCGTGATGTTGCGCTCTATCTCTCTAGAAAGAGATGGCCATGGACCGCATGTCTTTGTGAATTTTTGTGTTTTAGCGCGTTCCTCCGATTCCGCGCGGCGCGCGGCGCGCGGCCGATTTCGAGGAAAATCAAAATCACTCAGGCTCCTCCCACCGAGTGAAAATTAGAAGCACCCCTCCCTCCCCTGAAAATTAAAATTCACCCCTACTTAAATTAAATTAACTCCTGCTCCTGCTTCTACTGCTGTGGAAGCCTGGTGCAGTGGTCATCTAAGCGATAGACAATCACTGCAGGTAGTACCATGCAAGCAGAGCTTATAGCAGCATCAAGCGGGGCTGATAGTGGAGTCTGGTATATGTTTAGTTTGTGTTTACATGTATTTATTTCTTTACTTCAGCGGCCTGCAGATCGATCGACGCGATGTCGGTGCTATCGACGCGACCGCGAACGCGCCCAGATTTGGGACGACAAGAGGCAGCCGCGCCGGCGCTGCCACCGGAGAAGGTCGGAAATGACGCGGTGACTTCGAGCGACGACTTCACACCCGGAGCGTCGATCGTCGGCGCGCTGCCCAACGCGCGGTCCGCGGCGATCCTCGAGGCGCTCGGCGCCCCGCGGGACGTCCGAGACGACGGCCGCGACGACGCGCGCGTCCGACGCCGATGGCCGCGACAACGAGTGCGCGGATGCGACGTCGCCGGGCGGCTCCGCGGCGTCGCTCGCCGACGACGACCGCGACGCGCACTGCGGCCTGCCGCCCTAGCCGTCGACGAACGATGGGCACTGCCGGAGCGAGCCCGCGGCGCGGCTACCTCTGCGACCGCGTCAAGGTGCCGAGCGCGCTGAGTTTGTGCGCCCTCTTCCTCACGGACGTGCCCCAGCTCCACGTCGCGCGCCACCCGGGCGCCTTCGTCGCAAAGGGCCGGACGGCGGCAAGGTCTTCGAGTTCGACCTCAACTTT